CCAGTGTGTCATCATCGACCTCCTCCGGGTGAATCCGAGTGGTGTCGTAAAGACCCGAATACATCCACATCGGATGGTCTCGAGCTTGAAGAGGCTGGATGCACCGCCGAAGGAAAACCTCCAAGAGATCCATACCAGTGACCCCGTCACGGATGAGCTGGACCACTCGTTCGACCAGCACCCTAACTTGCGCATTCTCCTCCGGGAGCACCTTCAAAGAGGAGGGTTTCCTCACTCGGTCCATGGTAAAAGGAGGGAGGCGAGTCGACTGCCCTGGCGTCAACTGGTCTTTGCAGTAAAACCAGGTCGACTGACATCCGCGGACCGAATCGGGAAGAATCATGGTCGAAAAGGAACTTTTCCCTCTCATCTGAACACCAAGACCCCCACACATCTGAATCACTTGTGTTCTCTCGTCACTCGGATTGGCCGTTTTCACCCGTCTGAGAACGACAGGTGAAAATGTGCTTGAAAAGACCCCAGTGAGGCCGACAACCCAAGAAATTCTTGCACAAAGACACGAAAGCAGCGAGATACACGATTGTGTTGGGAGTGAAGTGGTGGAGTTGTGCCCCAAAGAAATTCAGAAATCCCCGAAAGGAAGGGTGAGGAGGCAAGGAAAATCCACGGTCGACGTGGGTGGCAAGGAGAACGCGCTCACCCTCCCGAGGTTGCGGCTCGAATTCCTTCCCCGGAAGCCGTGCTGATCCATGGGGGATCAGTCCTCCGTCGGCTAGGTCGTCGAGGTCTTCTTGGAGGATCGCCGAGTGGATCCAGTCGCCCTGGATCCAGCCCTTCGGCAGGCCGTCTCGTGAGGAAGATCCACCACGACTGGTCGCCTTCCCCTTCTCCTTTGTCGTCGCCTTCTTCGCCCGCTCCAGAGCCGCCGTCTTCTCCTTCCCCATTGTCGCCGGCGAGACGTGTACGGAGCGGCGGTGTTGGGGCGAGAGCGAGCGCGACGAAGAAGCCTGAAGAGGAGAAGAGGAAATGAGAACGCACTGTTCAATAAACCCCGGTCCGGCGCCTTATATGAGGCCGCTTCCGAGTGGCTGACTGGTAGGCCCGGACGATCCTGTCAAATCCCGTAACAATCGCGCGCATGATACGTGGCGAAAAAGGTGGCGCGGAGATCGAGGCGGCTCCGCCCTATCCCATCCGATTACTGCGGCCTCCCCCGTCCCATGCGCTTCCCAAAATTCGAATCCCGCGAAATCTGCGGGCAGCAGAACAACTTGCCAGACGGAAGATCTCCTCCACACCGTCACTCGGAATTTTTCAAGCAAAGAGACTCACTCGACAAAAAACTAAGAATGGATCAAGGCGACTGAAAAGGAAGTTGCTGTTATCACTCAGGTTCATTGATCCGAAACAAGATATGCTCATGGCATGAAAAATGAGTCGGAGAAGTTCTCAACTCCTTCCCCACTCAAACCTCGATCCATTCGGGGGCTAATGATGAAGCTATGTACCTAGGGTAGGATCATGGACCTGTCCTAACTGCCCTACCCAAGGACATCACTAGAAGAAAACACCTTCCAGTCGACTTGGAGGTGTTCCACTCGGCAGACTCGAAGACACTCGACCAAGAAGCAATCACTCGACCAAGATCCAACCACTCGACGGCCAGGAGACCTAAAGTCACTCCGCACGCTAACGGTCGGTCATTAAGTAGCTTTTATGGTCATCATAGCACTTTATTAGGGGCGTTACCAGTAACGCCCCACCTTAATGTATTTGAAACCCTGCATAACTGAGGGCCGGAGGGGTCTGGCAAACTCTATATAAGCCACCCCCCTCCTCAGTGTAAAGGGTTCGCACCCCTGTAATTCATACACACATAATCCAGTCGACCGCCTCCGGGCTCCGAGACGTAGGGCTATTACTTCCTCCGAGAAGGGCCTGAACTCGTAAACCTCGTGTGCTTACAACTACTCCATAGCTAAGATCTTGCCTCTCCATACCTACCCCCCTACATTACTGTCAGACCTAGAACCACGACAGATAGCGCCAAATTTATACAGAAACTTAAATTATCGAGAGCTGAACCAAACCCTGTGTCATTCACATGTATCACATCATTCTCTACTCTTTTATACTAACATGCACATATTTAACTAATTCATTGGGCATGGCACATCATACTCCTTCTTTCTGGGAACATGCTAAACCAGAAATTCTTATGTTCGTGATTCTTCATCCACCGATGCAGAAAATCTTCCAGGGCGCATTACACGGTTTTCCTGTAATAACCCTATTATCTGAGATAAACACCTAAGATCATACTATGTGCACTTGACATTACCTAAGATCTCCTAGAATTGCATTCTCTATGTCTACATATGCTACAAACATTGCCAAATTTGTACTGAAACATTTTTCTGTGTGTGAATGCTGAAACTTAAATTACTGAGAGCCGAACCCAGCCATGTGTCACACCACTATCTACTCTTTTCTACTAGCAAGTGTAGCATGCACAGATTAAACAAGCTCATCTCACGCCACAAAACAAATACCCATCTCAAGGACAGAGCAGACTCACCATGAGCCATGGAGAACTTCAGAGCTTCAGGGATGCCCCTCACGGAGAAGGGGGCGGATCCCGTTGCGGCTGGGGAGGGTCCATGGAGCTGCAGGTGGGTGCGGGTGCGGATCCGGCGGCGTCGTCGCCCCAATCCCATCCCCATCCATGTGTGGGTGAGGGGCTAGGGTTTCGGGCGTGGTCGCCCCATCCATCCCATCCATGGGTGGGCGGGAGTTGTCGCCCCATCCATGGGTGGGTGGGTGGAGTTGTTGGCCCATCCATCCACGGAGGGAGAGGTGAGGTTGCCGGTGGGGGTCGACGGTGGCGGGATTGTAGAGGAATCCGGGTGGTGGGGAGAGGACGGAGGAGCTCGAGTGGATCTGCGGCGAGGGACGGCAGAGAGAGAAGGGGCAAGGGGTGGCCGGCGGTGGAGGGGATGTCGGTCTACATCGGGGGTGGGTGGTGTGGGAGTGGAGTGGGACGGTTGATGGTAGGGTGGTGGTGCGGGTGGAGTGACAAGCTTAGTACTACTAGCGTGGGGTGTTTCATCAGCGCTACATCTATTCATTTAGTAGTAGCGTGTCTATGGAAAGGGCGCTACTACAATGCATAGTCTGGGGGCAACGCCCTGGCAATTGTAGTAGTAGCGCTCTTTTCTCCTAGCGCGCAACTGCTATTTGGGTATTAGCAGCGTGGTCTCTTGCAGCACGCTACTGCTAAGTAGCAGTAGCGATTGTTTTTAAACCGCGCTGCTGGTAATATTCTGTGTATAAGGTTTTCCCTAGTAGTGTCTATCCACAGATACAGCTCGAGGAGCACCTTTGTACTCACTTTGCCTTAGTGATCATGCGGAGACCCCGCAGAGCAGGACTAGGGGTGTTATCGAGCCCCGAACCTGGGTAAAGTACGCCGGCGTTCGTGTCTACGCCTCATTCCGTTTCCAGGCACCGGCGACGTTCTACTCGCCCCCACCATGATAAGTCATCATTGGCATATGTCGCACTTAACCCCCGACATGTTGCCATGAAAAATAATAAATTTCTATAAAAGACCACAAAAGTAATATTATAATAGCATGAAATAAACAAAAAATATAAATACGTTTGAGATGTATCAGCCACCTTGCTGCCCCAAATAAAACTCGAAGACTCCCTAAAAACCCTAAAAAAAACACCCATACCGACATGCATGGGTCGGATTTCAAGCTCACCGCGGTCCGGGACCACGCACTGACTGCCACTACTCGGGCGAACTAGCCAGGATGAGTGGCTGTTTAAGATCACCGCACTAGATTACCAACACCAACGTCGAGCACCGCCTAACGAATACCGCTACTGGAGCACACATGTTCCTTCACCAAAACCTGCGGCAGCCCTCCAACTCCTCCAAAAGCAGCCCGCACCCTGATCAGGACATTTCGCCGGGGGCAGAGCCCTGGCGGCAGCTAGAGGGGGTGTAAGCATTGTGGCAGCTAGGGTTTCGGTCGACCGGCTGGTCCGCTATCGTATTTGCCAAAAAAATCACAGACTAAAATCCTTGTAAGTTTAAGTGTATAATTATTGGTAGCAAAACTCCATTTTAATCGCTAGCATCACGACCGAGACTGGTGAAGTAGGGATCGAACTACCGGTTGGTACGCGATGCAGCGAGATGTTGAACCCAGATCTAGCCCATCGACAATTATAAGGCATTATCCATCAAACCGGTGCACGATCGATCCATGCATAGAGCACACTAGCTTTCTTCTTTCCTTTTCTTTTCCCATGAACAAATTTTGAGGCGTCGGTTTGCACGATTACAGGGCATGGAAGAAGAGCCGCGCGCTCCCCGACGACCTATCTATGTATGATCATCCTTCCGTGTGGACTTTTGAGCTCACTGGTTATATGCAGTACTTTTGTCATTGCGTACACCATCGTCCAGTGCCCAGCAAATTCGCCGTGACCGACAGGCCCTCTTGAAACGATCAAGATGTCGTTTACCATGTGCTTTATATGGAGTAAACAAACATGTCGCCAGCGAAGAATACACACTGGAGACATCAAATTCAGACGGAATCTGCTAATTTAACCTCAGCTGGGAGAGAAAAGCCTATCCGTCCACGCTGCCTTGCAAGCATTTGAGCTGCAAACCATTCACGATTCACGGATCTGCACATGCCTACATCAACATTCACGACTAGATTATTTATCAACCCGGCCCCGGTTTCCTTCAAGTCAGCGCTCTGTAGCTCGAGGGGATGTGTGCTGAGTTGTGCTCGCATGTTCCTGCGGCGTCTAGGGAGTAGGGAACATGCTCTGCCCGATTAAGAAACGCAGACAGGAGAGCAACCCCTGCCAATTCTCCTTCTGTCCCGCGCGTATAAATGGACGTGCGGAGGAGCAGCGATTCCACACCTCAACCACACGACTGCAGCTTCCACTTTCAGTCTCCGGCCACTCAACACAACTCGGCTCTAGTGGGTCGATAGAGCTCAAGGATGGGTAGGGTTGCGATCTGGATCGCGTGCGTGCTGCTCCTGGCGGCGACATGCCAGGGCAAGGGGGCTCCGGGGCATAGGGTGAGGGTCGGCTACTACAACCGGAAGTGCCGCGCGGCGGAGAGCATCGTCAGGGACGTCGTCGGCAAGGCCGTCTCCCGGAACCCCGGCCTCGGCGCCGGCATCATCCGCATGGCCTTCCACGACTGCTTCGTCCAGGTGCGTGCGCCGTACTGTCAACTGTTTTTTTATATGCATGTAAAGCGACGTACGAGCACGTGGTTAACAAGCAGCGGCTTGTGCAGGGCTGTGACGCGTCGGTGCTGCTGGACGCGACTCCGGCGAACCCGCGGCCGGAGAAGCTCGGCCCGCCCAACTTCCCCAGCCTGCGCGGCTTCGAGGTGATCGACGCTGCCAAGGCGGTCCTCGAGAGGGTCTGCCCTAGAGTCGTCTCCTGCGCCGACATCATCGCCTTCGCCGCACGCGACGCCGCCTTCTTCCTCAGCAGCAGCCTGATCGACTACAAGATGCCGGCGGGGCGGTTCGACGGGCGCGTGTCGCTTGAAACTGAGGCGCTGCAGTTCCTGCCCCCGCCCTTCTTCAACCTCACGCAGCTCGTCGACAGCTTCAAGGCCAAGAACATGGACGAGGACGACCTCGTGGTGCTCTCCGGCGCGCACACCATCGGCGTGTCGCACTGCTCCTCCTTCACCGACCGCCTGCCACCGAACCCCTCCGACATGAACCCGGGCCTCACCAGGCTGCTGCGGAGCAAGTGCCCCGTCAGCCCCAACTTCACCAACGACCCCACCGTGGTGCAGGACATCGTCACCCCCAACCGGATGGACAACATGTACTACACCAACCTGCTCAAGCGGAACGTGCTCTTCATCTCCGACGCGGCGTTGCTCACGTCGGGGAAGACGGCGACGAAGGTGATGGAGAACGCGTTCAACCCCGGGAGCTGGGAGAAGAAGTTCGCCAAGGCGATGGTCAAGATGGCTGCCATCGAGCTCAAGACCGCTGCCAACGGCGAGATCAGGAGGAACTGTAGGATCGTCAACAAATAGGGTTGCTGGCTATTTGTATTTAACACTCGAACGTGCATGCGTTCGGTTCTTTTGCTGCATTCATTGCATTTTGTTTCTTTCGTTTCCTTTGCTGCATTCAGCTGATCAGGTTGTAATTCGATTAACAGGGCTTTTTTCACGATAGGTGATAGATGCCTGAATAAAATTTTCATTTCCGACTTATTATCCAGTCATCTACTTTCTTTGCAAATGCATTAATTTATGGGGCAACCTGCACCGAAGGTTTAGGTGCGCTATTGCATTAGATCTCCGGTTCATATGGCCTCTTCCCCAAGAAAGATTAGGGTTGCTGTCGGTACGCCTCATCTATGGTGGCCTAGGACCATGGGAGTGCGGTGGATCCCGGCCCTTGCCGACGGAAAGGCTTCATTTTTAGATGGTTCTTTGAGTATTGTTAGGGTTTGTATCCTTTTCAAGAAGGCGAGACGGCGGCGGCTTTCTGAAGATGGAATAAGGTTCTCCCTGTCTAGCTCCCGTCCCGGTGGTGTGCATAGCATCGTCGGTAGGAGTGTGGAGGTGTGTCTCCGGCAGATCTATCTTTGGTGGATCTGCTCGGATTTGGCTATCGTTCGTCTACGCTCGTGTGTTTTCAGGTTGTATTCTTTCGATCTACGCTACTCTTTATCAGTGGCGGTTGCTGTTCTGGTGCGCTGGTCTTATGGGGCCTTAGCACGACGACTTCCCGACTGTCTATTACGACAAGTTTTTCCCGGCTCCGGTAAGGAAGAGACGATGACCGCGGCGTGCCTTCGGCTCGCTTCAGTGCTTGTAGTCGTCGTTGGGTGGTCTATGAATATGAATGTATTTTTTGTTATTTTTTATGTTCGTTGTACTGTCATGATTGAGGATGAATAGGTCAGAAGTTTCTCGCAAAAACAAGATCTCTAGTTCATCATTCAAAAGGTTTAGAAAGAGCCAATACAAATTTGATTTCGGCTTTCCAAAAAAATTGATTTCAGACATTTAGAGGACAAATTTATTGTTGTTAATAATATAAATTTAGTTGTGAAATACTCCCTCCGTACATTAATATAATACGTGTTTGCGGTTCCACGTTGCTTTTGCATTTTCTCATTTTTTATTTGAACTGCAAAAATGTGTCATATATAATTAGTGTACAGAGGTAGTAACAGATACGTAATGAGCAAGGCTTTCATAAGCTTTGAATCTTTTTTTCAAGTATTCTATTTATGGGCCCAAGTTTGACTAATCGAACTAGAAATTTTGTGCATGCCACATGCACATTGTGTGATGGTGTCAAATTGTTTAGAACCTGTTGATGGCTTCCTGATTGGTGCATCAGGACCTAGTGCACGACCATTGGTGCATACAAGTCATCTTCAACCCCCCACCCCCAGCCGAGAGAGAGAAAGAAGACATAGAGCCGGGCTATATAAATATGGGAAAGTATAATTTTCGTCCCATAGAAATGATCCCTCAACTTCAAAATCAGCAAATCTAGGTCCCTCAACTTTTCAAACTAGATAAGTTTAGTCCCTCATACCGCCTTTTGTGATTTTCATCCCAACGATGCTATACACACGACACATGTGCACGATTTGTGGACGATGTAGTTAATCAAGCCTGGTTTGTGGGAATAAACTGCAGGACATCGTCTGATTTTGAATCGTGCATGAATCGGCCACACAGGCGTCGTGCGCAAAGCAGTTTCGTTTTCATCCCGGCTGGACATGGTTTTCACTAAAACTTGATAAATCATTGGGGTTTGACTGCCATGTCACGGAGCGGCGATGGCATAAGTACTCGGCTGTGGTGGCACTACACGCGGGACATGGTGGCCTGTCTCATGGGATACTGGACTTTCGCCATGCTCGCCGTTCAAGTCATGCGGCCGGAAGCGGCAGGGGTGCAGGCGCCGTGGCGGTTGTGGTTGACGTACGCAGCAAACTGGCTTTGGATGCTCACGTGAAAGACACACACGTACTTGACGTTGTTCCCTTCGATTTGTACTGGCTAGAACATGCACCCATCGTCTCTGCTCCTTCCGCGACGAGATCCACGTGTTGCGGATGTCTTTCAGGCCGCGAGGTGGTGGCCGTCGAGCTCGACGTTGCTGCCAGCCGGTTGGCCGTGCCGATGCCTTAATCAACGATGCATGTGGCTGCCGGCGGGCCGGCTGTGTTGTGTCAATGCTTTGATCCACAACGCATGACTCTGTAGTAGTACTGCCCATTTTTCCATGCCCTTGTTCAATAGTCCTTTACAGTCTTGGTTTTCTTGAAGGCGACGTGCAGCACGTGCACGACGGGCTTGCGCGGTGCATGCAGGCGAGCATGAGTAGCTCCGACTTCAGATCATCGGCCACAAGGTGTTCCACCGTCCTGTGGCCGCTACATAGGTACACCTCCTCCGTGCGGTACACGACGGCGAGCATCACCCGACAGTGACGGTGCTGGTCATGCTCCCCACCGGACATGGCGGCATGGCGTTGAAGTGGCCAGTGATGTGGCAGTCAAACCCAAATGACATGTCAATTTTTTAGTCAAAACCATGTCCACGTGCGTAAATGTTTTACGGGACCATGGTTCAGCCGAACCTACGCTCGACACCATTGATTTCTATATACTATTTATGAGGATCCATGCATGGTTGATTAAAAAATGCAGTTCACATGTATGTCTATTCATGAGGATTCATGCATGATTAATTAAAAAATGCAGTTGGCATGCATATCACAGATCCACATGTAGTAGGATGTTAAATCGTACAGCATAGACCATAAGTTCGGCTAAACCATGGTCCTGAATCATGTCTCTCGTTCACGTGAGAGGAAAACTACCGAAAGTGGTATAAGAGGCTAAACTTATCTAGTTTGAGAAGTTGAGGCACCAAAATTTACCAGTTTTGAAGTTTAGAGATCATTTATATACTTTGGCAAGAGCTGAAGGACAAAGAATATACTTATCCCTATAAATAAAGCCAAACTGGTGAGTCATCCAACAAATAACACAAAGTACTCCCTCTGTAAACAAATATAAAAACGTTTAGATCAATAAAGTAATGATTTAAACGCTCTTATATTTATTTACGTAGAGGAGTATCAGGCAAGTAACCGTCACACAAGCCCAATGCAAACCATGACGGTCGGGCAAATAGCCATGCACGCCACCCAAAGGAACAACACAATCATGATGAAAGCTACGTCCTTGGAGGAGCAGGCGCTAGACAAAGGTCAGTACTCCCTCCGGTCCTTTTTACTCTGCATATTAGAATTCTCTAAAGTCAAACTTCATCAAGTTTGACTGTATTTATATGAAAAAATATCAACATCTGTCATGCTAAAGTTATATAATATGAAACTTTAAGTCATGACACATCTAGTGGTATTGATTTCAGATTGTGAATGTTGTTACTTTTTTCTACAAAGTTGATCAAACTTTACGAGGCTTGACTTCATTCAAATCTTATATGCGAACTAAAAAAAACGGAGGGAGTACTAGAGGCACGGATCTTGACGATGATCGTAGAGACGGTGTCAGTGTCCATGGCCTTAGCGAGAGGCTTCCATTATTTTAACAGGGCAACCATTTTAAAAAGACAGGCAGCCCAATGTTTAGGAAAAACATGTTCGGTAGTAAAATTGTTCTAAGTCATCCAGAAGGACCAAACGAATGCAGCGAAAGCAAGCCAAAACACACAACAAACTGGCCTGGAAAATTCAAGAGATAAGTAAAGAGATCATCGAAACATTTCGGATTCTAGTTAAGGTTCAACAATGATCGGACGCAGCTCCAGCACATGCGAGCAAGATCACAATTAAACACAATGTGTTCTGTGTTTTCGTTCTCTCGACAAAGAGAACGGCCAGCAGCTGCAGGTCCACTTCTTTTCATGATTTGATCAGCCAGCAAATGAAGTCTCACCGCCTGTCAAAGAAAGATTTTGATTTTAGAAGGAATATGTGCCCGCCATATCGCCTTGAAGCGATGGTCACGCCGTCCTTGAACAAGTTCCATGTAGAGAGATTTAACCGAGAATCTGCCCGAGGACGAATGCAGCTAAACGAGCTGATGTGGAGTCTCCGAGAGCACTTGAAAAAGGGGAGCAAGCTCCTGCCAGTTCTCCATCTCTATAGGAACAAAGCTCGACACAGCCCTTGTTAAAGTTGTGTCGAATATAGTGTACAATGTAGGTTACAGTTGGACTTGTAGTTGTATTGTGTTTAGATAGGATATGGAGTCGTGTCCTACTAGGACACTTGTATCCTAGGCCTCTCATATATAGCGGGGCTAGACACACGATATAACCTATGCCAACATAATAGCACAGACGCGCAAGGGGGAGCCGGCGGCGTGTGCCGGCACCCGGGTGGCCGATGTGCGGTATTGTGACGGTGTCACGGGGAGAAGCGCCCGTAGTCATGCCCCGGGGATGTAGCCATATCAGTGAACCTCGTTAACAAATCTCGGTGTCGTGCTCGTGTGATTGCTTGGTCCTTGGATGATCTACGGTATGTTTCGGACTTATTCTAACAAGTGGTATTATAAGCTAGGTTGTGAGGTGACTGTCTGGTTGATCTAGATGAGGTGGAGATACCGCGGAAGGATCAAGCGTCGGCGATGCAATCGGAAAATACGCGCGGCAATGCAATTGCATGGAGCAGCGTCGAGTTGGATTCGGAGTCGGCGAGATTGAAAGATGACTTGTAGGCTGCAGCAGTAGCACGTGCAGCAACGCAGCAGTTTGGGCACGGTACGGTCCAGCACGGAGGCGAGCCAGCGGAGCCCAACACGGGCGCGCGTACGTGTCGGAGGCAGCGGCAGGTTTGGCGGTTCTCTAGGTGCAATCGAAAACAGCAAGTCACGGAATTTGTTATGAGAAAAAAAGAGGAGACCAAGTCTCCACGTATGACACGGAAGATAGGCATGCAAATCAACTGGAGAATTAGAAAAATCGCAAGAGATAATCCGTTGGAAAGCAGAAGGTCATGACAATGCAAAGCTGGCATTGGAAGTTTT